TGGCTCTGTGCCCTGGTGGGTACGACTAAGCTCTTGCAGGAGTGATACTCGGTCAGTTGGTGCCCTGCGGTCCATCCATCAGGGCCCAGAAACACGGTCGGAGTAGTTTTTCAAAAGGCATGTGACTCGCTGGAAACCTGGGGTCCCTCTGTGAAGCCGATGCTCTACCGTTTCTGCTACCATCTTCCACACCAGCAGGTCCCCCAAACGTGCATCCCAGCCCAACCTTGCTGAGAGCCCTTTGGCCCTTACCCCGCGTCCCCCCTTGTGGTTGGGCAGGCCCAGTGTTCCCAGGCGTGGAGGGTGGAGTGAGCGGGGCACCAGCGCAGCTCTGGCGAAACACACCCAGGTTCCTCCTCACAGAGGCGCAGGCGCTTCCCAGGCCTCTTTGTTCTCTGGGGCAGGAGAGAATGTTCGGGGGCGTTCGGGGGCAGTGTCCACAGGTCCTGTCCCTGAGGCCGAGGGAAGCTGTGAGCAGGTAGGGCTCCCCCGTCGCTGGGCTGATGGCCGTCTGCGCTTGCCCGCCAGGGCCCACGGGCTTTCTGCAGAGGCCAGAGAGCGGATTAAACAGGGCCCTGGCGCTCCACGCCCTGGTCCTTAAAGTCGGCGCATGTCTCTGCCACCCTTTGATGGGGTGGGAGGGCACTTTCTGAGGCTTCCATCCCCTGACCGCACAGGCCTCAGGGCAGTGGGTGTTCTACCCACTGCCATGTCAGGCCCATGGAAATGACATATGTCCGGGAGGGTCTTCAGGCCCATTGGGTCTGCTGTGACCTGTCTTTGTCCATTTATTGCCTGGCCCCCAAATGTCCCCAGTCTAACAGGGGGACATGGGATGCTTTGGGTTCAGTGGACCTTGAACTGCCAGGGTGTGGCCCTGTGCCCGGCGTGTGATCACCAAGTAAGCAGCGCGAGGTCCCTGGGCGAAGACTTGGGGAATCGTCTCAGTACACACCTGCCCTGGTGCTGCGGGGTTCTGACTGCTGGGTATCCGGCCTTATTTCTGACAGGGGGTCCCGTGTCTGAAACTGGCTCAGACCAGGCCTGGGTAAAGGAGCACGACTTTCAGTGGGGTTATGCCCCCAGCCTCCTGTTCGCTCACTCTTGTTTCCTTCTACAGTTGTGTGGACTCCTGCCTGCGTGTGCGGGCAGCCAGGGCTGGGTCGGAGGGCCATCTGTTTCGCTCCTTGCAGCACCATCTCCTGTTGTCTATCGGCCAGTTGGCCTTCCTTGGCTGGTAACCTGGCCTGTCGGTCATTAGGCTAATTGCTGGCCCGTGGCTTCTGGCAGTTACATACATACCATCACCAGGCCACTCTTGCTTTGGGGCCAGGTTTAACTGCTGGAATCAGAGAGCGGCCACAAAGCCTGTTACCAACAGGCCGCGCGTTGTGACAGCCTCTCCTGAGAGTGGAATTGCTGGTCACCTGGTATGTGGGTGTCCAGCCGCCAAAGTGTTTGAACTATTTTACGCTCTTTCCAACAGTCCTTTGAGGGATCTGGTTGCTCCACATCTTTGCCAATACTTGGTGGTGGTGATCATTTTTACATTAAATTTTAGCCGTTCTGGCAGGTATGTAGTGTATCTCATTTTGGTTTTGTTTTGCGTTTCTCCAGTTACTGTTGATGTTGAGCATCTTTTCTGGTGCTTGTTGACCGTTCATATGTTTTCTTTTATGAAATGTCTGATTCAGTCTTCTGCCCACTTTTAAAAACTGGGTTATTTGTCTTGTCATTAAGTTGTAGGAGTTCTTTATATATTCTGGATACAAGCCCTTTATCTGGATACAGACATATGTATTCTGAATATTTTCTCCAAGCTTTGCTTCATTTTTAAAGCAGTGTCTTTCCAAGAGCAGCAGTTTTTAATTTTGATGAAGTCCAATGTCTTTTGGTGAATAGAAGTTCTTAATTATAAAGTAGTCTGTTATCGGTCTTTTCCTTTGTGATTAGTGGTTTTTCTGCCCTGATTAAGAAATCTTTGCTTATTGAAGAGTTATGAGGATATTCTACTATATCGTCTAGAAAAGATTTGTATGATTTTGTCTTTCTCATTTTGAACTTCAGTCTGTCTGGAGGTAGTTTTTGGGTGTGTTGTGAGGTAGAATGCAGCTCGTTTTTTTCATGTGGATATATTGATAAAATTGCTCCAGCATCGTTTATTGAAAAGACCATCCTTTGTCCACTCCAGTAAATGGCATTTTGTTGTAAATCAGGCGACCATCTGTGTAAGGTCTCTTTCTGGATTCCATTTTCTTTCTCTGGGCTATTGATCTATCTGTGTATCAGCAGTAAATTAATATCAGGTTGTAAACCATCCAGTTTTGTTCTTCTGCATGACTGTCTTGGCCATCTGGGCGGTTCACGTTTCCATGTAAGTTTTAGGACTTCAGAATCAGGTTGTTGATTTCTACCAAAAAAAGGAAAAAAAAAAGCCATCTAGAACTTTGGGGTTCAAGGGCTCTTTACAGTAGTGAAGCTTCCCGTCCTTGAACATGGTATGCCCCTCCATTTACTGAGGCCTTCGCCTTCTCTCAGCAGTAGTCTTCATTTGGCACCTCTTTAGTTTGAGATATTATTGGGTATTTCATTTTTTAATTCTATTGTTAATAGTTTTTCAAATTTTGTCTTTAAAATTTTTGTTGTTAATCTATAGATACCAATCGAATTTTATATATCACCCTTGTGTCTAGCAATTTTGCTAAATTCCCTGTTTTATTTCTAATGTCTATAAGTGTAAATTCTCTTAAATTTTCTATACATATAATCATTAGCAAGTAACAGTATTTTTATTTTTTTAATAGTGTTTATTTATTTATTTTTACTTGTTGACAGTTTACTTTATTTATTTATTTATGGCTGTGTTGTGTCTTCGTTTCTGTGCAAGGGCTTTCTCCAGTTGTGGCAAGCGGGGCCCACTCCTCATCGCGGTGCACGGGCCTCTCACTATCGCGGCCTCTCTTGTTGCGGAGCACAGGCTCCAGACGCGCAGACTCAGTAATTGTGGCTCACGGGCCCAGTTGCTCTGCGGCATGTGGGATCTTCCCAGACCAGGGCTCAAACCTGTGTCCCCTGCATTGGCAGGTGGATTCTCAACCACTGCGCCACCAGGGAAGCCCCAGTATTTTTATTCTTTTCATGTTCTCATATCTTTATTTTTTTTCTTGCCATACCGAAGTAGTTGGGACCTCTGCTGTAACGTTAGCTACAGGTGGTAGCACAAAGCATTCTCGTCTCATTCCTCTTCTCAAGAGGAAAGTATTTAACTGTTCACCCCCCGGCAGTTATGTTTGCTGGGTGAGCAGGCAGCTACAGGAGGAGTTACTTTCCTGACACATGCACAGAATTCTCAGAAGAAGGAGCCGTTCAGTGGGAAATCCGCCACTAGTTGCTTCTCCCGCGCACTAGTTTCCCGCACAGTAGCTATTTTTGCTGTGTCATCTTCTGTCATGTTGTGCACTGCAGCCACAGTTCAGTTCTCATGTTGTCAGTCCCATCACTTTTCAGATTAGAAGTTTCTTTTTCTGTCATTTAGGGAGATTAGTATAATCTGTGCCTCTGCCGGGTGAATGTTTCGGGCATTTGCTTATTCTTTTCAGCTTATTAAAGTTGCCAACTCTCTCTTTAGTTAGTTCTCCTGTTTCAGGAGTTCCACTGCCAATCCCATGGGCTCTACAGCAAGACTGTGGAACTGAAAATCTCAGCAAAAAAATCAATTTCTCTTGTAGGCAGAAGCTGTCGTGAACTACTTTTTCATGGTTAAAGGTGGATGTGTTAACATTAAATTTATATGTAATATACATGATTCTTTTTTCTTTAAGCTGCAATTCCATACTCTCTCAGACCCAGTGAAGTATGTGGACTGAGCACTGAGATTGGGATCAGAAAGCCTTGGTTGAAACCCTGATCCTTCTACTGACGATTTGATCATGGGTAATAATGGTATTATGATAATCGTACCTGGGGAGCCAGGCATTTTGCCCGTTGTCTTCACTGCTGTATTTCTTGCTTCATTAGTTGGTGTTTAGATTGGAGGACCATGTACCTAATAAGAAGTGGGACGTTTTAAAATGTACTCTAAGGTCCTTTGTTTTCTTATTTCTTGGGGTATTCTTTCTTTTTCTACAATTCTTTCATATTCTTCACATGTTACCAATTGACGATTTAATGCTGAAGCCTGTTCATTGTTTTATTATCATTTATTAAAGACCATTTTTTAAAGGGGAAGGTGTTTATCACATATGCCATTTAGAACTAAATGGAAAGCAAATTTTGAAAGGGTTTACATTTAGGAATTTATGATTCGGTTTTTAACCACATAATGTTAAATCTGTTTCTTTTTGTTTTGTCTTTTCATCTTATTTTGTGTCTTACTGAAAAATTGTTTTTTTAAAAAAAAAGAAAAGTTGTTTAGAGGGCAGAGACCTAGAGCCAGACAGGTTCCTGAAAAGAGGTGACCCGCGTGTCTTGTCTGTGCTCAGTGCCCCTGTCCACAAAGTGGCTGTGCGTCACCATCGGGCGCCGGACTGCTCTCCACCAGGGCTTAGCCTGTGGCATCCGGCCCGCACTCATCCCCTCAGTGGACGGGGGCCTGTGCCATGACACTGACACCATTTAGCACGTACGTGTGAATGCAGTGTGTGCAGGGCTCTCAGCCCCTGTGCAAGGTGCTCTCACAGAGCTTTCAGGGAAAATCCATTTAATGCCTCTCTTAGACCCCAGCTGCACCCGTGGTGATTATATCTTTAGCTGCGCCCCACCTTCATTTCACTCCCTTTTTTGAAGAGCTGTTGAGGAAGAACAGGAGGAAATCGATTTTGAGGAAATTAAATTTTCTTCTAAAGCAGGATGATGTGTTGGAACAGGGCAGGGGAGCAGGGTCTGGAGCCTCCCGCCTGGTCGGCGTTTCGAGGGCAGGGGTGCGGGCCCGGGGCTGCGTGTGTGGGCGCCGTCCGCAGGGCGGGCGGCCACGCTCTGCTCACGTCTCCCTTGTCCCTCAGCTGCAGATGGCAAAGTCGTGACGTGCGCCGCGGTGTGGAGGATGCCAGCGGAGCTGGAGCCGGGCGGCCACGAGTCCCCGGAGGATGCAGCGAGCCCTGCACACGCCCTGGAGCTGCTCTGTCACCTGGGCCCCGCGGCCCACGGCAGCACCGCCTGGTAGGTTCCGCCCCTGCGTGCCCAGGCAGGCTTGGAGGCAGGCCCCCACCACAGAGGCCTCTCTGCATAAATTGCTTGCTTCCGCTCTCTCTTTAGTGCCAGTTGTTTCCCAGATGAGAGAAATCTATGGACACCCTGCTGCACACGTACTGAGAAAAGCTGCGTCCAGATCCTTTTCTTCTAAAGTCAGTCTTGCCGGGTACCTGCCAGGAGGATGGCAGTCAGGTGCCGTCCAGCACTTAAGCGCTGCATTGCTTTTAACCTCATAGATGCACCTTCACTCAGCAATCCTGTGCATAAATTAACTTATTTGTTACCTTGGGTTGAAGGCTTATGATGTCTTCTTCTGTGGACCAAGTGTGGACGCCCCGTGTGCAGGTCGTGCTGTGCCCACAGCCCTCTGAGGCTTCATCCTGCATTTATTTCCCCAAGTGTCCTGTGCAGTCTCAGGACGGAGGGACGCCGCCAGCATCCCTCAGGGCCCCCAGGCCCCTGGCTGCCCGCGTGCTGCGATGGCCGGATTGCTGTGCCCCCTGCAGTAACGCACAGATACTCCTCACGACGCTCATGGCTCACGTGTCGAGTTGCCGAAGGCCTTGGCAAACTCAGGGGGCCGTGCTTTCTAGAAGGGACCGTGGGAACGTATGTTATGGGTGTTGTTATGGGTGTTGACGGTTACAACAGTAATTGTTTTGCTTAATACGGTCACACTCCCACGTGTGCGTGCGTGTGCGTGCGTGTGCGTGCGTGTGCGTGTGTGTGCAGGTACATAAGAAAGAGCCTCCGTGTAGTCACTTCTTAGTCACCCCTACCGATTAAACAAATTTAATCCAGCAGGTATTTATTAAGCACCTGCTGGACACGCCTGCCAGGCTCCAGGGACCCAGGGTGGCGGGTCAGGGGACCTGGCCTCGAGGAGTCACGGTCTCTCGGGGAGGCCGTGGTGTAAACACCTAACCGAGACCCAGGGCAGGCGGGGACCGCGCTGGAGTCGTTCTGAACCGTGTGCCGTGGGCCCGCCGAGGAGAGAGTCCCTAATTTTTACTAGAGGAGTTGATGACGGAGTCTCTGGGGAGGTGACGTTTGGAGCTGGGACTTATACTGGTCCCCACAGTCAGCTGCGTTTGGAGGAGGGGAGGGCGGGGGGGGCAGAGCTGGGGGCCTGCGTGGCCAGGGCCCTGGGGGGCCTCCGTCTGTCGGTCTGTGTGTGGAGGTGGTTAGCAGGTGCCAGGTCGGGCTTGTTGCGTTTTCCCAGGAGGCCGGCCATCTGCACAGAAGGGGCTGTCCTGCCCCCTGAGAGACTACCCGCGTGTGCAGCAGGACAGCGCTGCAGACCGCACAGCTGTTCGCAGCCCGCGCCTCAGGTGGCAGCCCTGCTTCCCCAGCAAGCATTTGCACGTGTGTGTGAGTGCGTGCACACATGTGTGTGCATGTGTGCGTGCACGTGTATCTGTCCCAGGAGCTACCCCGGCACTGGGGAATGGGTGAGTGAGACAGTGCAGACCCGCAGTCATTTCGGGCGAGGCCGGCATATACAGGCGGCTTACGTGCCTTTGGCGAGTGCAGAGAGGGGTGAGCGCCGGGAGGGGACCTGCCCCTGTGGACGAGGGGATGTAGGGACGAGGGGCTAAGGGAGGGGCCGTCGTCCGCTCCCCGCTCCCCACCTGGGCCCAAATGCTCCATCAGAGCTGCCGTCGTGGGGGAGCAGGCCGCGCCCACCCACGGGCATCGTCGGGAGGTGGATGTAGCGCGCCTGCGCTCTCGCCTGTGAAGGGAGCATGCTAGGAGATGAGTGTCGGTGTTTAGACCCGTCCTCCTCGGAGTCTCCTCGGAATGCCGTTACTCCCGATTTGCTGCTCTTGTTCAAAGTGCTTGAAGTCTTTTTTGTTATCCATTGCATCGCTCTGTGTCTTTGACCTTTTCACCTGTGGCTGCAGGTGCGGTTGTAGCAACAGCTCAGAGAGACCCTGCGTGCCCACCTGTCTCCCCCAGCAGGGACCATGCACCACTGCCATCGAGGCAGCCCACAGCCCCACGCAGGTTCATGTGTTCCGCACCCCCGCCTGTGTGTGCGCTGAGTTCCCTGCATCTCATCATGCGTGTCAGTCTGTGTAGTCACCACCACGGTCGGGGCACAGAACCAGGATCGCTCGGGCCGCCTTGTTGCGGCCACCGCCGCCCCCCCACGCCCCGCCCTTCATCCCTGACCGCTGTGAGCCCGCGCCACCCGGTGCGCCGTCACCGGGAGAGCATTCTGCACGTGGAGTCACGCCATGTGCATCCGATGGCGGCTTTTGCTCATCGTCCCTCCTTCCTTCTTACTCTGAGTAGGACTCCGGGTGGGGTGGACACAGTCCGTGTAAGTGTTCCCCTGTGGAGCATCTGGGTCCCCGGCTTCGGGCTGTTGTGCGTAGACAGCCTCTGAACGGTACCCTGCGCACCTGGGTCTCCACTCTCCTGGCCAGGTGCCTGGGGGCAGCCGCTGGGCCGTGCGGCGCAGTGTTTAGTTTGGTGGAAACGACTGTGCTCTGCTCCAGAGGGGTCGTGCCAGCCGTGTGTGCGGGTCCAGTCTCGGCATCCTGATCAGCATGTGGGGCTGTCGTGCACGTTCTCTGAAGTGTCCTCGGTGGTGTCAAGGTTTCATTATTAGGTAAGGAATATGAGTTTTGGAAATTTAAGACTGGTGGATCCGTGGAGGTGAAGGACACTGTGGTCAGACATGAGGCAGTCGGTGTTCTGTGTTCACTTGCTTGCTTTCCTTTTGGCTTGTTATCTGTGCTGAGAGCAGTTCCAGGAGAGGGGCTCCCAGATGCTCTGACCATCGGCCGCTGCTGGCCAGAAGGGAGTGTCCAGGAATGCCACACAGTCCCAGTGCCCTGGAGTCGTGGCTGCGCTGACAGGCAGAGGCGTGGGGCTCCTGTCCTCAGGGCCCCTCAGCCTCTCCTGTTCTGGAGCGCAGGGCATGGGGTAGACGGCTCCCACGTCTGCATCGCCGCAAGCAGGGTCAGCTAGTGCACGGTGGGTCTCTTGTGCTCACCTTCCCCGAGGTGGCCGTAGGGTCACTGGAAAGTCACCTGTTTCTGTAGATCAGGTCTCCATTCCTGAAAAGGAGGTGAGACATTTCTCGTTGTGCTGATGGCAGGGTCTCTGGAATGTGGTACTTTGCGTGGATGTAAATAAGGCAGTGAAGGGGCTGGTGTAACGTACCCCCCAGACCCTTCCGGGCCTGACTCCCTGGTTTCGCCCTGTGGGGACACAGGTCCCGACTTGACCCGGAGGGGCCGCCCCATGACCTGCAGCACTCAGCTCCTCTGGGCTGAGTGTCCCCTCCTCAGAGAGGTCCTTCCTAACCATTGTCTCCGAAATGATCACTGCTCCAGCCCCACTCACGCCTTTCTGTCATTTTACCCAGTCTTACCTCGTCATAGCAGTCACCACCTCCTGACCCTCCCCTCTCTGTGCGTGTACTCCTGCTTCTTTCTCTGTAGCCTGAGCTTCCTCCGGGCAGGGGCCTGTCAGGATGCAGGCTGCGTCCTATAGCCTGCATCAGCACCAAGGACAGCGCCTGGCACACGGAGCGCTCCGCCGGGTGCTGAGTGTGAAAGGGAGCGAATTGGGGCCGCAGAAACGATGCTGAGTCATGACTGTGACCCTGTAAAGTGGGGACCTCTGTAGGTAAGTTAACTGTAGGCCAGAGAGAGGAGGAGATTGCGTCCAGGGTCCCTCGCTCCTCGGGGGAGTGACTGGGCCTCCCAGCTGGGCAGTCTGGCTGCAGGAGCACACCTGCAGAACGCGGATTGGGAACCGCCTGTGGCTGTCATCCTGTGGTTTGGAAGTGGTGTCAGGCGCTGGGAGTATAGACACATCTTCATCAGAATAAGTTTGGGGAGTGTTCATGCATATTCCTGCTGGTCCTTTCTGGATGATCAGTGTAAACGAATTCTGCTCTTGAGGGGACCCCCTCATTTTGCCGATACTAGAGTCATCATCTTTTCCGGCATGCTTCTCCTCTCCCTCCTGGTTCGCTCCTGCAGTCAGCGTGGTGATTGTGGAAGAAACGGTGGGCCTGGCGTCCGTGGCCCTGGGCTCTGCCTGCCGATCTGTAGCTAATTCACGGCATCCCTTTGGCGAGTCAGGTCAGTTTGGGCCTCATTCCCTCGTGTGTAAAATGGGTTGAATTCAGGAGTCTCTGATGTTCTTACCAGCTCTAAATTCACTGGATGCAGTGAGCTCTCTTTCACACCTGCTCAGTGTCGCGTGCCTTTCCCTGAATCTAGTCATAACTCATGACCCTCTTTCCACTCTGCCTGTCGCACTGAGGTGAGTGGCACTGGCTGCTCTGCTGCTCAACAGACACACGGCCGTGACCACGCCACTCACGTGAGGTCCTCCTGGGTGAAGTCAGTTCAGCTGGTGGCGGGCTGCCTGCAGGGCTTGGACCGAGCCATGAGGATGCTTTTACCGAACTGTGGTCTTTTCACCATTTTCAGGGTATCTCATCCCGTCATACTCCAGGTTATGTATATTAGCTGCCTTAAATCCTTTTGGAAGGATATGGGATGTAGATAAGTAAAATTAATAAAATTTTACCTTGTTATGTTAAAGACACTGAGGTGAGAGTTCGTCCTAGTGTCACACGTGTAGTTGACACTCTTTCCCTTTTCGGGGGTAGGTGAGGAAGGGCTGCTGACACTCCCCCTTCGTGTGCTGTGTGCTCGTTCTTCTCTGGAGTTAGGGGTCTCCCAGGGTCAGTGCTGACACTGACGGGTGATGCGTTTTATCAGCACGTGCGGTGTCTACATGGGCACTGAGCTGGGCACGTGGGGGGCTGCAGACCCACCGAACTCTCTAGGGCCTCCTGGCATTACACCCGTCTCCTGTGTACTCTGGTGTCTTTTGGAGCCCCGATGAAGGCGAGGTGTTTGGGGACGCGGCAGGTAAGAGCAGGAAGGAGGTGACAGTTCTCTGGCGCTGGCTCCCCATGAGGTAGGGGCTGTATC